ATCAAAACTATTTTTTTCTACACTAACCTTATCAAAAACTATTTTTTCCCACTAACCTTATCAAATACTATTTTTTTTCTACACTAACCTTATCAAAAACTATTTTTTTCTACACTAACCTTATCAAAAACTATTTTTTTCTACACTAACCTTATCAAATACAATTTTTTTCTCCCCTTATAAAAACGACTTTTTTCTCCACTACCCTTATCAAAAAGCAACCATTTTCCATATTCCCACTAACCTTATAATAAAAACGTTTTTTTCTCCACTAACCTTATCAAAAACTACTTTTTTCTTCACTAACCTTACCAAAAAACGATTTTTTTCTCCACTAACCTTATCAAAAAACGACTTTTTTCTCCACTAACCTTATCAAAAACTATTTTTTCTCCACTAACCTTATAAAAAAACGGCTTTTTTCTCCACTAACCTTATCAAAAAACGACTTTTTTCCCACAATAACCTTATCAAAAAAACGACTTTTTTCTCCACTAACCTTATCAAAAAACTCAATACTATTTTTTTTCTCCACTAACCTTATCAAAACTATTTTTTCTCCACTAACCTTATCAAAAAACGACTTTTTTCTCACTAACCTTATCAAAAAACGACTTTTTTCTGCACTAACTTTATCAAAAAACAACTTTTTTTCTACACTAACCTTATCAAATACTATTTTTTTCTACACTAACCTTATCAAAAACGACTTTTTTCTCCAATAACCTTATCAAAAAACGACTTTTTTCTCCACTAACCTTATTAAAAACGACTTTTTTCTCCACTAACCTTATCAAAAACTATTTTTTTTTTCTCCACTAACCTTATCAAAAACTATTTTTTTTCTACACTAACCTTATCAAATACTATTTTTTTCTCCACTAACCTTATCAAAAACGACTTTTCCCACAATAACCTTATCAAAAAACGACTTTTCCCACAATAACTTATCAAAAAACGACTTTTCCCACAATAACCTATCAAAAAACGACTTTTTTCTCCACTAACCTTATCAAAAAACGACTTTTTTCTCCACTAACCTTATCAAAAAACGATTTTTTTTTCTCCACTAACCTTATCAAAAAACGACTTTTTTTTCTCCACTAACCTTATCAAAAACGACTTTTTTCTCCACTAACCTTATCAAAAACTTTTTTCTCCACTAACCTTATCAAAAACTACTTTTTCTCCACTGACCTTATTAAAAACGACTTTTTTCTCCACAACCTTATTAAAAAGACTTTTCCCACAATAACTTTATCAAAAAAACGACTTTTTTCTGCACTAACCTTATCAAAAAAACGACTTTTTTCTCCACTAACCTTATCAAAAAACGACTTTTTTTTCTCCACTAACCTTATCAAAAACGACTTTTTTTTCTCCACTAACCTTATCAAAAACGACTTTTTTCTCCAATAACCTTATCAAAAACTATTTTTTTTCTACACTAACCTTATAAAAAACGACTTTTTTCTCCACTAACCTTATCAAAAAACGACTTTTCCCACAAAACCTTATCAAAAACGACTTTTTCTACACTAACCTTATCAAAAACTCAAATGAATCAAAAACGACTTTTTTCTCCACTAACTTTATAAAAAACAACTTTTTTTCTGCACTAAACCTTATCAAAAACTATTTTTTTTATACACTAACCTTATCAAAAAATGACTTTTTTCTCCACAAACCTATCAAAAAATGATTTTTTTCTCCACTAACCTTATCAAAAAAACAACTTTTATCTCCACTAACCTTATCAAAAAACGACTTTTTTCTCCACTAACCTTATCAAAAAACGACTTTTTTTCCCACTAACCTTATCAAAAAACGACTTTTTTCTCCACTAACCTTATCAAAAAACGACTTTTTTCTCCACTAACCTTATCAAAAAACGACTCTTCTCCAATAGCCTTATCAAAAAACGACTTTTTTCTCCACTAACCTTATCAAAAAACGACTTTTTTCTCCACTAACCTTATCAAAAAACGACTTTTTTTCTCTACTAACCTTATCAAAAAACGACTTTTTTCTGCACTCTTCATACCTCATTCCCCATTCCTTACCCTGCAACGGGACCAACAATGTCGAGCTTCGGACATCCGGCGAAGATGAGGCCGACGTACGCAGCGCCGCCACAGAGAGTAACGAAGACGCTGTATGCCATCAGGACCTTCACCTTCGGCCGCATCCACAGCAGGATGACGCCGCTCAAACCCATCCCGAACATGGGCGAGAGGAGGCTCGAGAGACCTTAGGTGAAGGAACGGGTTATTGGCGTTTTTTTCCGTGCGTTTTCTTCGGCTGCCGTCGCTCTAATTACGATGAAGGCACGAGTACAACATATAGACATTCGAGATGCTGAATTATTTCTGTCTCCGTTTATTATATATAATCAATGTAAACTGATAAATGAATAAACACGAAGTCATACATTTGTTTCTCTCGCTGCCTATCTGTCCCTCTATTTGTCCATCTATCGATACACCTACTAATCTATCAAGCAAAATACCATGCTACCCGTCCGTCAATCACTCTAATCTCTCAGCACAACCAACCAACACACCTATGTAGAAGTTCGCGTCTATCGACCGCTTTCTGAACTGGCTCTCGAGGTACTTCGGCCTCAGGCTCCAGTACCCGGACACAGCAAGGGCGAAAAGGGTTGTGTTGAAGAGGTTTAACACCCAGATCTTGTTGGTGAAAATTCGCCTGGCTGACTCCCAGGCTTCTGCAATGGGAAAATGTGTCATGGTTTATGATGATTAGAATGCTGTCACTACCACTTTTTCCGTTCTTTTTCTTTTTCTTTTTTTGTCAATTTTTGAGTGAACTGTCGATTTTTCGGTCAGACGATAATTATCGAAACTCCGTTTGAAAACCTTTTCGTCAACTTTTTCAGCCATAGTCAAATCAAAAACTATATTCAAGAAAGTTTGCATATATGATACATGAAATTAATTGTAACATACAGTATATGAGAATAAATTTAGCATATATACTATTAAAAAATATATTAGTAAATATGAAATTTATTATCTACTGAAATTAGTAAAATTTGTTTTAAGTGTTCGCAAGATTGTTTACATCCGTGAGAGCAGTGCGCGCCATTCCTCTCCAGTTTCGATGTCATCACGGATCGCGCTAATTCTCCTGTGTGGAGTCGTCTCTCTGAGGAATTTCTCGTCGATATTATTCGCCAGAATCGTTGCCGTTGGGATATCAGAGATGGCGGGTACACAAAGAATAAATTGAAGAAGGTGTACAATGATGTTTCGCGTGAATGACGCGGTTGTGCTTTTAGCCCGTGTGACTGTGCGCCTCAAAGTTTTATTTATGAAAATGTGAAAAAAGTGCCAGTGTTACACCACCTTTAAACTTTCTGTGAGTTTTCTATGGTTATGAAGTGTGCTGTCAGCAACATAGCATACACAGGGTATATGCTATGATAGCAGAGAAAGGTATGAACATCATTACGATAAGAAATACATAAAAATGAAAACAAAATCACACACACAAAACATTCCTTCCAGCCTACCTTTCAGACTCTGTTTGATCTGAGATTCCTTCGCCTTCGACTCCGCTGGACTCGCCTCCTCCTCAACCTTCTCCTTCGCCAGAATCTTCCTTATTCTCTGCCTGAACGACTCGGGAGCACGGCGAGGGAAAAGGAACGACAGGCTCCCAGAGACAGCGAGACCACACAGGATGCACAGGGACCCTGACGATAATGTAGAAAATGTAGGTTGAATTATGTGTGATTGGTTTCTAGTATTTAGTTATATCTGATATATGTAATGCATTTTTTAAAGATTTTATACTTACTGTACGGTCATTTACTATTATATGCTAGTTGATAAATATCAGTCGTAGTTATATATATTATTGTTCTACGATGTATACTAATATTACATTATTCTTCACCTTATCATTGCACAAATCATTATTATTAAATGAATATCATGCCTAGAGATGTTACTAACCAGTCCACCAAACATCGAGTAACTCCGAGTTCTTGTAGGTGCGGCTCGGTGTCTTGGCCGGGTCGATCCACGCCTTGAAGAAGAGGGACCCGAGCAGGTACCCCAGCACGGGCCCCAGGACTCTTAGCAACAGTGTCACGCCTGCAGTGGACACTCATACAATGGGGTGCAGAGGTATGAATAAACACACGTGCATCTATAACCTGATCAGTCACACACGCACGCACACATGCACATGCACACAAGCGCACGCACACACACGCATATATATATATTTTTTTATGAATAAATGTGTAATAATACCTGTTATTAAGAAAAACACACGATATGAAATATAGACGCACAAACAAGACTCTTTTAGAGCAATCAATGCAATGCCAAAAGATGATCATTCACCGTAATATAGAGGAAACGTTCTCCTGTCAATGTTGTGTTCCACGTAGGTGACTCCCACGGTGTAGAAGATGGTGACAGCGATGCCCATGAAGAACTGTGAGATGAAGAGCAAGAGAACAGTGCCCAGGAGCGCTTCTGCTGTGACGTCACTTCCGCAGTTCTCATCGCCGACGAAGAAACATAGGTCTCGCGCTGTAAAGGAGAGCGTGAATGGTTGGTCGAGAATCTCTCGTTTTCCGCTAAAACATAAAAGGTTAAGAAAACGGGATATTTCAGTTTAGAAATCTTTGAGAAATAAATAAACATCATTATCATCATTATTATAATTACTGTTACCATCCCCACCATTTTCATCGGTCCCTGCTATCCCTAGATCGATTTACAAGTCACAACGAATCAAACAACTAACTATTCTCAGCGATCGCCATCGTCCCGTTCCCCACGAAGCCAGCCAGCTCCGCCCCGAAGCCGTCTCGCCCAAAGCCGAACAGGAGGTGCGGGATGGCAGCCGAGAGACAAGCCGCCACCACGAACACCATCCCGACGCCGATCCAACGAAGCCGGTGACTGCACCTGCCATGGTAGTTCAGGATCAGCGAAAAGACCACCTGCGACATGTCATGG